TTTTTTTTTGTGTGTGTGTGTGTGTGTGAGAGAGAGAGAGACCCCGCACAACAACTTGATCTGTACATGTACCTGGACCCCAGCTGCGACCACAGGTCCATGAGGGCTACCGGTAGTCCAGTGGGGGGAACTGGCAGAGTGGCAAAATTCGAAAATGGATTGAATTACCCCCGCGATTTATTTCGCAGTTGAAATGATTTTTTGTATTTTTTTAAATATTTTTCCTGTAAAGATCACAACCAAATCTATAGACCCTCAAATTTGCAGAGTTGTCGGGTCATACTTCTGATTGCAAAAAATCGCGAAAGTTTGTTTTTTTTCCCGTTGGCCCAACCGTGGTAGAGTAGTAAAAATGAAAAATGTGACGAAACAGCGCGGCATTTACTTCACCGTTTTTTTTTTTTTTTTTCCTTTAGTGGGCGGGAGTGAGTGCGTGTGGGTGGGCGCGACTTTTATTTTTTCCATTTTCCCGCCCGAGGCCAAAAAAAATAAAAGAAAACAACCACGAAACAGAAAGAAAAACAAACGAAAAAAGTAAAAAAAAAAAAACCACGATACAAAAAGAAAAACGAAAAAAGTAAGAAACGACGCGCCGAAAACGAAAATGCTAAAAAAAAAAAGGGTCGGGCCGCGCCGAAAGGAGACAAAACGACACGCTGGAAGGAGGAAAAAAAAACTAAAAGTCAAAAAAGATAAATAACAAATTCCAAAAAGAATACAAATTCAAAAAGAAAAAAGAAAAAAAAGGGGCCGGGCCACGAAACGACACTTTTTTGCTATCCGACGGCGGGCGTGTTCGGATATTGATGCGCATCGACGCCCGCCGTGTACCCAGCCCCGTGGGCGCTCTCTCTCATTTAGTGGCGCGCTGTGAACAATTCGGTACGCGCGCCGCTCTGCACAACACCCCTCTCTCGATCACCTTCATCCATCGGCCCGAATCAAAACTTCGGGCCGATTCCGGCGCGCAGCGGAACACGACCTCCCCTCTGCGGGCCCACCGCGCTTAAGGGGTAGGATAATAATAACCCTTAAGCAGCATTGGCCGGGGGCGGAGGTCGATGGTCCGCTGCGCGCCAGATTTGGGGTCGAAGTTTCGGCGCGGCCCGACGGATGAAGGCGATCGACGGCGGGTGGGCGTGCAGAGTGGCGTGCGTACCAAATTCTTCACAGCACGCCACTAAACGAGAGAGCGCGCCCACGGGGCCGGGTACACGGCGGGCGTCGATGTGGATGAATATCTCGACACGCCCACCGTCGATAGCCTTTCCGTGTCGGTTTGTGTGCGGCCCCCTTTTTTTATTTTTTGTTTCATATAATTTTATTTTTTTCATTTTTTTTTCCTTCATATATTTTCGTTTTGTTTCGTATTGTTTTTTTTTTTTTAATATATATTGTCGTTTTGTTTCGT